CCGGGCCCCTGCAGGTCCTCCCTGCTCTGCAGAAGCTCAGGATGGGAGACTGAGGATCTGGTGGAAATGAGGCTGCACTGCATTTGGTCCCAGGAGTTGATCACATTGGAAAATGGGGATTCGGCGCGCCCCCGGGTCAGAGGGAGCAGCGGTGACCATGGAAACACAGCACCTCCTGTTTGCATGCGGCCAAGTCCAGGTCATTAAAGCCTCCATGACACACTGACTACGACTGAAGGAGGAAGAGGGACGGTCTGCACCCTCTGGGGGCGGCCCTCCGGGCTGTGGCCTCCAGCCCCGGGCAGCAGACTCCCCTCCACCCCAGCCAAGAGAGCCGCCAGGGCGCCCTCTTCCAGCTGCAGCCATAGCTGCCCATCCCACCTGGTCCCCCTCCCCCAGAGCCTGGGCTCCCCCAGCAGCACGGACCGCCCACTGGCCGCCTTGGCCACGCCCACAGGTAAGTGCACTGAGTCCAGAGCAGTTGTTCATGCAGTTTAATGAGCTCCAGAGGGTGGGGAGGAGGCAGGAGTCCTGCAGTGCCCGCGGACTTCAGAGCACATCCCACCTCTCCCTTTTGCCTGTCAGGGGAGAGAGGCTGATGGAGGTCCTGAGGGAGGAGGATCTCAGAGCAGGTGGGGGGTGACGGGGGAGGGGTGGAGGAGGCGCTAGGGGCAATGAAAAGCAGGGAGGGTCCCCAGACACCCTGGAGAGCCTGTCTTCAGCTCATGGGCAGCATCCTTGCCCGGCCCCGGGCTCAAGGAGAGGAACCAATATGACCGCGGATCCAAGACAAGAAGGATGTCACTCGGGCATAGACTGTAGGAAAGTTGTCAAGACCGCACTTGTGCCCCCAACTCACCACGCCTACCTGGACCCAGGTACCCCTCAATTTACAGACCAAGGGGCCCCCAGAGTCACCCTGTGGAGAGAAGAGACATGTGGTCAGTGCTCATTCCCATACAGGCAGGGGCAACTGATGGAGGCCACAGTCTGGGGGTCTCACTTTGCAGGTGCTCGGGCCTTCACTGCCGGCACACAGCATGTCATCCTTGATAACCTTGCCAATCCTGAGGTATTGCTGCCGACAGATCTCATCCGCCACGATGGGGACCTCC